CAGTGAGCAGGGGTATTACCCTGGCATTTTTCATATGAATGAAACCTTGGGAACACACTCTAAAGGTATATTGGGACAGATTTAAGAAGCCCCCCCCCCACACACACACACTGTAGTCACAAATGATAGAAGTTATCAAGACATAAGTGACAAGTCCATACAGTTGGATATCACAGACCGAGAAATTCCAAAAATATAACTAGGCAAAGCCTGGAGGGGACTCTACACAAATATATTTGGTTTTTTGAGACAGGGTTTCTCTGTGTAGCCCTGGGTGCCCTGGAACTTGCTCTGTAGACCAGGCTGGCCTGGAACTTGGAGATATACCTGCCTCTGCCTCCTAAGTGCTAAGATTAAAGGTCTGTGCCACCAATACCCAACTACCACAAATACTTATGTGTAGTTGAATCAAAGTAGTGTGAGTCATAGTGAACTTGGTCTCTAAGCTGTCTCTAAGGCTATTGCATTATTCTGACAAAATTTCTTACAAAGACAGATTTCATGTATCTGGTGGGAGTGGTGGCTAAATCTGGGCTCTTATTTAGCACAAGGGAACTTAAATGATAGGTTACTGCCAGCAGAATCTGTATGTAGAGACAAGCTAGACAGTCCAGAGAGCTCGGAGGGCAGGTGACCAGGACAGAGCCCCTCATGTCTACCACCATCTGCAAGTTCCTATCCTTAGGACCCAGAAGGTGGCCCTACTGCTGTACCATGAAGAGGAACCAGGGGCATACACAGGTGACATCCCTCTATACTCAGCCACTCAGTGAGGGCTGCTGCCCTGGTCCCACTGCAGCCTCCTCATGGGGAACCTGAGGGGCACCTGGAGGTCACTGTGCCCACTGGGCTCTTGGCTCAGTCTCAGGGTGGGGTCCTGTGGGGGTGTGTGATGCTGATCACAATACTCCCAGAGCTGTCCATGGACTTTGGCTGAGAAGCAAGTTGGATGGGGAATTCCCCAACACCTGGCAAGCTGGGTGGGAATACCTTGGGGCTTGACAATCAGGCATGCTCTGGCTGGAAACTGAGGCCACCTCTAACAAGGGGAGGTGTGACCCCTTTTGCACTCACTACAGAGATTGAGGAGCTGCTGAGGCACAATCAGGTTTTGAATAACAAGGCTGGATAGTGGGGAAGCTTCTGTCATGAGCCTGGAGGTCCTACCAGTCATGGCCCTCGGACTTGGGCTTCACTATAAAGCTGCAGCCTGAGCCTCACTTCTCCATTAAGAACCTGGAACAGCACTACCTACCCACTATGGTCCTAAAGGGTGTGGTATTCAGTTAATGGTGCTTCTTTCTCCTTCCCCAAGTGGAAATGCTCAGACTCCTGTGAGGATGGTTCTGTGACAGCAGATCTGAGGAGACCCATTTCCCAACTCCAGGTTCTAAGGAACCTGGGAAGAGGGCTGGCAAGCTGGGCAAGTTGTTTTGGGACACAAAACTGTGTCTTTGGGCAAAGCCAGATTACAAAGGGCCCACATAGGTCCTATGCTAAGGAGGGCAGCAGTGTGCAATGGTGAGGATAAGGAGGCAGAACTTAACTGGCCCTGCTACCTTCCAACTGTGGGCTCCTGCCCAAGGGGAAAGTGCTAGCACACAGGATAGATCTGGGGCCCCAGGTGAATGTCTTGCTGACTAGCATCTAAAGGAGGCCTCTCCTGCTTTGAATAATAGGAGGAGCTAATGCTTCTTAGAAAAAACAATGGAGGAGGAGCTAATGCTTCTTAGAGAGAAAGAGCAGCTAATTACATTGTTTTTCATTTTTTGAGTGTGTCTGTGTAGAGTCTGTGTGCATGTATATGTGTAGGTGTGCACACATGTGTGGAAGCCAGAAGCTGCATTGGACGTCTTCCCCTATTGCTCTCTACCTTATTGTCTTGAGATGGTCTCTCACTGAACCCACAGCTCACTGTTGGCTAGACTGGTTGACCAGTGTGCTGTCCTCATAGTGCTACAGTTACAGACGTGCTCTACCACATCCAGCTTTTACATGGGTGCTGGGGATCCAAACTCAGTCCTAATAGTGACTGAGTCATCTATCTCCCCAGCCCTTAACCTCATGCTAATCAGTGACTGGTGACTGGGAAACATAGACTGTTTGCCTTAACATCTCCTGAAGTGCTTATCCAAATGCCAAGAAATGGCCTTAAGGGGCTAGGAAACCTTAATTCACGAAGGAAATTTCATTTTGGGTAAATGTAAGTCAATAGATGAGTCACCATGGGAACTCCCTCTGAAGGCCGCTTAGCATGTGCCTAGTAGGTTTTCAAAGATGTCTGATGAAAGAACGGACATGAATGAACAGATGGAGCAATGGACAGAGACATGTCAGCAGGAAAGGAAGAAATGGACTTCAGCCGAGAGCTGCCGGCTGCTGCTGCTGGATCTTGGATCTCAGAGTGCTCAGTTCTTAAGCGGCTCCATCATGCTAAACAGAGGTAACTACTGAATGTGCTGCTGATCTGAGGGCCAGGCAGGCAGGAAGAGGGGTCACTCTGCAGTGAGGGCCAGGCAGGCAGGAAGAGGGGTCACTCTGCAGTGAGGGCCAGGCAGGCAGGAAGAGGGGTCACCCTCTAGTGAGGGCCGAGCAGACAGGAAGAGGAGTCACCCCTGAACTGAGGGCCAGGCAGGCAGGAAGAGGGGTCACCCTGCAGTAAGGGCCAGGCAGGCAGGAAGAGGGGTCACCCTGCAGTAAGGGCTAGGCAGGCAGGAAGAGGGGTCATCCTGCAGTGAGGGCCAGGCAGGCAGGAAGAAGGAGTCACCCTTTCCCCACAACCGAAGGTCTCCAGGATCCCAGTGCACTTACATCCCAGCAGAGACCAAGAACCAGGATTCAAAAAAAGTCAGAATGGACGACAGGTCCTGAGTCCACGTGTGCCACTGGGACCACCCTCAACAAAGACCCACTGGACGCTGGCTCCTGCCTGCTGGCTCCTCTTCCCAACTCTCCCAATACAAAGCCGACAGACTGGTGGCGCTGTTTTCCTTCCCTTCGAGAACAATATTTTATGAGGAATCTGTTTTATTAAAATATTTTCCGCTGGATGCTTCCTGTGTTTCAAGAAGTTGGTCTTGCCAGCTGGAGCTGGTGATAGTTGAGAGAAACACATCCAAGTGCTGTTGTGACATGGCATTTGGAAGTGGAGGAGCATGGCAGGGGTAGGGGGATGGCAGCATGGAAGAGATGCAGGAAAATACCCGGGTGGCACCAGAAATGTCACTGGCATGATGGGAGCCCAGCCTCCCCTCTTCCTCATTAAGACAATGTGAAAAGAAACCCTAGGAATGACGTCTTAGGCTCTCCCTGCTACCTCCTGGCCAGCTTGAGCTGTGCTGAGGGCTGCTCATGGATCAGTCTTTTAATTCCTGTCACTGTTGTTTGCCAGCCCCTGAACCAGTCCCCACACTCTTGTCCAGTTCATCTCAACCTGATGCTTTCTGGAAAGAAATCTAAGGCAGGCACATTACATGAAAATACTGGGTGATACCAACAAGGCTAAGGCAATTACCAGAAGAACCACCTTCTCAACACAATCGGCTCTCTGCACACACTAAAACAGGAACAGCATAAATAAATGTGCTTGGCAAGTCCAATCTCTAATCAGGACACAAAGTGGGGAATGTGTTTCTGTAGGATATGGACTGCTGCTGGTCTGATGAGAGAGAGAGAGAGAGAGAGAGAGAGAGAGAGAGAGAGAGAGAGAGAGAGGGAGAATATGACTGAATGAATGTGTGTGTGCGGTGCAAGGACATCCTGAGTTTATAACTCAATATCTACAGGTCCATGGCCTCTATCCCAAGACACTGTGTAAAAGGCTGATCAGCTACAAGAGGTGGCTAATTCCATCCTCCTCAAGAGAAATCTTTAGGGCAAGGGGAAAACCAGAGCCACGCAGCATTCTCACCACAAGGGGGCAGTCATAATCCATGGCAAGGGAGATGTCCCTCAGTATTCCGACCATGCCAATGTGCAGAACCCAAGTTAAACCTGCCCCAACTTCAGGTGTCCCCTCTTCAAAATCTCACATATTCAAGCATCTCCAGAAACACATATATGCATACTCCTCTCTCTCTATCCCCCCCCGCTCTTTCCCACTCTTGTGTTCTCTGGGTAAAGACCATTCAAGCTGGTTCTATAATAAAGCAGAGGATCATGGGAGAACTGAAGTGCACCTAGGCTAGACCACAGCCTGACATTTTGGAATCTTTTCTCTATTTTGGCACCAGTTCTTTGTAAAGTGGGGCACACAAAGGACAGTGTTTTGTTTTTTTTTTTTTCCTCAGCCCTCAAACAACCCTAGGCCAAGATGGATTCCTGAACATTCTAAAGATACCCCAGGAAGCTGTTGAATAGTTGCCCAGGTGTCTGGACAGAGCCCAAGGACTATGTACACTGGGACAGGAGAAACAGCATTGCCTTCTCCAGCTTTTGACCCTGCAGGTTCAGTCACCCCATCGACCCAACAGCCGCAGGATGTGACCAAAGCTGGTACTAGGCTGGGTCCTGGGGTGCCGTGGGGAGCTGCAGGTCAGAGGGGACATTGAAGCCAAGTCCTGGTAGCACAGGTGCTATAGCCCAGGAGAGACCAAGGGTAAGGATGTCTTGTGTATAACAAACTCAAACGATGGAGACTTCGAACCCCACTAAAATGACGGTGGCCTTGCTAAGCAGGCAACTTCTTTGGCAAGGTAGCTTATTCTAACCTGTGGACTCTACATCTTCAGTATGAGAGGCCTGGACCTTTGGAGTGTGACTGAGTGCCCTTTGGGCCTCACCAATCAAACACAGTCCAGGCTCTCTGTTGTGGGGGCCTCTTGATAATGTGACAACAGAGGCTCAGACTCTGACACCAAGGACCAAGCCCTGTCCCTTGTTTGGTCTCCTTGTGAAACACCTGCTCAGGGTTTCAAGGAGCCTCTAAGAGGAGGCTGGGACTGCATGCCTGGTCACCACTGGTTTCTTGGGGACAGAAAGGAGGTGGCAACAGTACTCACTGCTCAGGGCTTGAGACAGATGTCCTCCGGCCTTCCACAGTGATGTTGCTCTTCGGTCTCTTGACAACATGCGGACGAGGCGGTCGTACCTAAGGATGAGCGTGGGGAAATCCCCAAGAAGGAGTGATTTGGAAAGGCTCCACAAGTCCATTGTGAACATCTGGGTAGACAGCCCCAGAAGGCTTGGTTAGAGGTTCTACCGGTCTGGGCTTTCAGAGTCCTGCTTATCACTGAAACACCACCATTTAACAGACAGCATATGGATCTGTTACCTGGAATTTAACGTGAAAGGCTTTCCTCACCCACAGACCCACTGGCTTCTCAGAGGGCTGAACTACATGGGAGGTGGACCCCACAAAGCCCTTATAAGTGTGTGGAACAAAGAGGTCCCACCCAGGCCTGTTTGGGGGTGAACATATTCAATATAATTTTGCAGCCAAATTATAGGATACTTATTTTCTTCTCTAAAGAGAAGGGGAAGCAAGTGACAGCTCCAGAGAGTGCCCAGCTAAACCAACCTGCTTCCCAGGGCACCCCATGTCTGTCTTCCAGCAGGGCTCAACTGGATGCTTTACAAAGCACAGCTTAGGGTGTCAGTGGTGCAGGAGGGCAGCAGATACTGTAGATGGGTTATTCTGAGCTGCCACCTCTGAAAACCAAGATGAAGCCTCAGAAGGGACATGCCTCCTTCTATGACCCATTAGAGCCTGTGATGGGTGTTAGGCCATGAATTTCTAGGTACTCTTAGGATGCTTCTCATTTGGTCCAATCATCATTATGTAGCTTTATGTGTGGTACTCTGACCACTTCCTCTAATGTCAAAAGGTTTGGGAAGAGCGGTGAGAATGCCCCTCTGTGGCTCTTATTGCTCATGAAGACAAGCCAACATTGCAGCAGGCACAGGGGGTTTGCATTCCCTGCAACTGCAATGATACAGCAGCTGAGCTCTGCTGACAGATGGGAAGGAGAGTGCACACACTCCATTACCTACTGCCCTTTCCCCACCCTCCGCAACTGGTGGGTAACAGCACAATGGTGAGGAACAAGATTACAGAAGGTGGCTGCATACAAGACCAGTCTTGACAGAGTTTCAAGGAGCCCTCAGGTCTGCACATGTCTGACCAAACCAAAGATTTTCCTGTGGAGCGGCCAGTCTGAGCTCAGCCTCATTTGGCAAATCAGAGATGTGGTAAAGGCCAAGAACATTCCACAAAACATGCCGTCTTCTTCCATAGGGCTATTGTTAAGACTCAACCACAGGGTGTGGGGAACAGCTGGTGTGGACATGGTAAAGAGCAGGGGGCTCCAGAAATGCTTGTCTGCTTCTTTGTGATCTAAATGCCCCCTATTATCAATAGCAAAAGGAAGAAGGGAGGGAGGTGCAGGTACGAAGATAGACTGCAGATTGTCTTAATCCTTTCAGGCATCCTGTGAGGTGCCTGGTACATAGTGGAGCCTCAGAAAGATTTGTAGACAGGCCAACATTACTGTCTGGAATCTAACAGTGGTAAATACTATTGTGGTTGTCATTGCTATTAGAATGGTGCCTGCTACCCAACAGACATTTGGTCAACATTTGCTGAATAAATGGATGGCTATATCTGCCTCTATTCTCACATGGAGCTGGTTTTCCCAGCAAGGCCCCTTGGATCCCTGAGACTATGCCTGCAAAGGAGGAGAGTGCAGCTGGGTGGAAGAGGTCTTTTGCCTTTGCCAGGGACCTGGGGATTGCACTCAGAAAGGTCAGACATTATGGCCTGTGGGCTTGTCCTGCACAGGGCTGCTCCTTGCTACAATGAAGACAGGTTAAGAATGTGAACTTGCTACTGAAATGGAGGGATTAAGTTTGTGGCAACTTCAACTGAACTTGCAACGTGGTGAAACATGGGGAAAAAGAACAACAGAGCTAATTAGACGAGCTGAGCTGTCAGAGTGCTGCTGAATGGCTCAGCGCCAACAAACAAAAGGAATGGGTTGGCAATCAGCAGGATCGATGGAGGAGACTGCTTCATTAGGGATGATAAAACAGACAGAGGAGGGAGAGGAGCGGGGGGGTGGGGGGTGGTGTGGGGGTGGGTGAGAGAGGGTGGGAAAGACACAACAGACCAGAGACAGTCACCCCCATGGTTACAGACCCACCCAGAGTCACACAAACCTCACTGGTGTAGGATTATCATTACAGACAAACACTCAAATGCACCAGGGCCAGGAGACTATAGTGTGTATAGTCTCACAAACAGATATCCACAAAGGCATGCACAAGAGGTGAACACACACACACACACACACACACACACACACACACACACACACACACACACACACACACCATACCACACCACACCATGCAGTGGCAGGCCACGACCAGGCCTAGATACACACAGGTAATGGTTTAATCAAGGCTGAATCAAAAGACAATGCAGATAACCCCAATGTGTTTTAACAGTACCATCCCTCTTTTGGGGGTACTTAGGAAGGGTGATGGCTGGGTGGAGGGAAAAAGCGCTCTCATACACAACAGGGGCTGGCTCACCATTGCTAGGATCTCAACAGTGCCAGGGGAGAGAATGCTAAACAGGGCTTTCCAGCTCTGTTCAGGGGACTGGAGGGGAAAGTTGGGAAGCCAGCCAATTCCCCACCGGATTCAAAACCTGAGAAATCTAAGTCGGCAGGGTTAAGTGTGTATTGAATACAAAAGCACCAAGTACATTTGATTTTAATGGTGAGCAAGAAATAATAAATAAAGAGCTTATAAAGTGCTTCACATGTGGGTCCACAGCAGCCTGCCTCTCCCTGGTGGCTTCAGCCACTGTCCTTCATCTAGGAAACACTAGCATGATTTTCTTTTGCTCTTTCCTTCCCCTTATTAAGAAGACACCTCAGATCCTCTGGTCACAGCTGAGCTCCAGCCACAGCCGCCGAGTTCCAGGATCCCTGTTGTTAAGGCTGAGCGCCTACCACTGCATGGCCTCGCCACACTGGCCAGCAGCTTAGCCAGATGTCTACAGCCAGGTAACCTAGCAAATCCTGACATGGAATCATGTCAGGCTGTCATTTTTGTGGCCCTTAGGAGTTCTATGCCCCAGGTCTTTCTAGTTCCTTCCCACCAAGTGTGGACTGGTGTCCACTGGACAGGCTGACATGAATGAACAACAGTCTTTGTGGCCTGGGGATGCTGGGCCCCAGGCAACATCTTCTAGCCTCCTAAACCGTCTCTCAGTGGCTCTGTTTGCAGAGGAGTGGGAACCATAAGAACATGACCAGTCAATCACCTCTTGCCCTGCCTAGGGGCAGAGGCAGCTGCTACCCAGTCTTCTTTTGGGGTAACATTTGCTTGCTCAAGTTCTCAGATGCCTGGACACCCCACAATCTACCCAAGTCCCCACACTGGTAGGACCAGGGTCCACTAGAGCTGTCTCTAATACTTGAGTTTTTCTCAGAGAGCTACCATGCCTTGACCCTCTTTGACCCGTTGGCTGTCCGGAGCCCAGGCCTCTAAGGCTGCCCCCACCCCCCGCCCCGAACTCTCCATCTGTGGCTGCTAAAAGCTGTCTGTTGAGAACTAGAGAAGGAGGTCTGGTCTCAAAGGCCAGCACAGTCTCTTACTATCTCTGTGGTCTTGGCTACAAACTAGGGAAATGACATCTGCCTTCTGTGGGCTGGAGCAAGGGCAGATGAGACAATATGGAGCACCCAGCTCAGTCCTATGCACTATCAAAGGTATTTACAGTTCCTGCCTCTTATCCCTGCCATGACAGAACTTTGCCCTAGAGACCTCACAGGAAACCCATCTGGCCAGCGCTCAGTTTTGTTTTTTTCCCAGCTGAAGTCTCTGCCCCAGGACTGCTGAGCTCATCTCATTTCCACAGAGACAGAGGCCCAGGGAACCGGGGACACCAGGACTGTTGAGTTCTACAATCTGGTAATCCTTGGTAAGGGTTAAGCTACTAAACATCTTCTCTAAAATGGGTGACCACAATGCTTAGCATACAGAGTATTGTGATGCTCAGCCGGGATGAGGTCCCCAAAATGGTTTGGTGGCTTTAAAATCCTAAGCAAACAATGGCTTTTAATAAAATGTTAGGAAGAGCAAAAGCAGCTACTGTGTGCCCGGTTCTGTTCTGGATGCCCTCCAAAAATCCTCTGTGTTCATTTCTACAGAAGACCACTATGAATGAGGGCCTGGTATAAAAGAGGAGGGCAGGCTGGAGAGCTTTGGTCCTTGCCCAAATATACATCCTCAGCATTTGGGCCCAGTTCTGATAATCCCAAATCCATATTGCTAAGGTTTGTACTGAAACATTTTCTGTACTATACATGATTTGACCCGGGTATACTTCTGGGTCAAATCTGGGTCCCCCAGAGCATGCCATTTTGATGTTTTTCCCTTCCTTCTGATGATGGGGGTAGAAAATTCCAGGCCTTGGCAGCTGTGCCGACTGGGATGTGGGCGAATCACATTTTCATAGGGTCACAGAATGGGTCCATCACCTCACATGGCCGGAATGGTAGATTCCCAACTTACATCTCTCTTCTCTACCTCAAACCTCTAACTTCTGCACTCAGTGGGGAAGAAAGAAACAGAAGCACAGGATGTTGACATCCACCTAGGCAGTAGCTACCCAGTGGATGCTGGGTGAGTACACCATGGATTCCAACAGACACCTGGTTTAGCCTTGTCCCTGCAAAGGATGGTCTTTGTGCCTTCATCAGATGGATCTGGAGGGATGTACCAGGAAAGGCTGGTACACTAGTTTTTCAGGAGCTCTGACTATAGCTGACCCTATGCTTGGGCATGGTGACCTTGGACAATAGACTGGAGACCTTTCCCTTGGGAAGTGGCCCCATCAAACCATCCTAGCAGGTTTCTCACACTGAGAAAGTTACATCCCAGGAGGGGAAGGTCTGTGTACACGGGAAAAGCAGCACGAGGATGCTCAGCACTGATGCTGCAAGTCAAACTAAGGCTCTGTCCTGTCAGTCAAGCACTCTGTCCCTGGCACATCTCCAGCCCTTGGCATTTCTCTTTAAAATGTGGGCCTTTCTCCATGTCCTACTCTGTTCACAGTGGTTGACTGGTTAGGACTGTACATTGCTGTTCTACAAACCCTTCCTTAATACTCTTTGTGGGCAGGTATCTCTTTTTGTGAAGCCTAGCAGGGGACAGCACCTGTCTCTATCTATCTGGGCACTATGTTTTCAGCCCTTGGGAAGGTACAGCAAATGTTTCCCAACCAAGACCTGGGGGGAATAAGACCCCTGCCGTCAGACTGTGGCTTCCTCTGTGAGGAAGAGGCATTTGCAGTGAGCCATTAGAGCTCAGTGGCTAGAAATACGGCTCTCTCTGGGAGATTCACTTAAATGATGTGAAGCTGCACACAGCAGCCTGGCTACCCATGGCTACGGCCTGCAAGTCACGGAACTGATTCAGAAAAAGGAGAGAGAAGCCCAGAAAAATGCAAGTTCTGGCTCACGCCACGCAGCGAGGGAAGCTGAAAACCCATTTCCCAGTTTCCTTGTGCCAGGCAGGAGAGTCCACACTCTAGGTTTAGTGAGGCCAGGGGAGAGGGACAGGCAGTGTTAGATGGGGAGGGCACACCACCGGCTACTCACGGGCCTTGAACGTTGGATCTTGGAAGGCGGCAGCCGAGTGGGATGGAGTCTTTGTAGCTGCATTAAAGTGGAAACTTAAAACATCAGTTCACATTGAGATAGCTCCATGCAGCTCTACACATGGCCTGGGAAAAAGCCTCAAGGTACCCATGTTAGAGCCTGAAGCCAACCGGGTACTCTTCTGCTCCTGACCCACACTGTCTCAGGCTTCCCTCTGCAGACCTTTTAGTTCTGGCCTCCTCTCTGGCCTGGATCGTCACAATTGTCTCTCAGTAGAATCCCTGCTCTGCTCTTCGTTTTCTACTCAGGTCAAGGGGGACTTTATAAACTGCAGTATGGCATCACACACCACACCACACACACTTTAAAAATCGTCAGTGGCTGCTCCTGTCCTAAGCTGGCATGTCTACATTTTGCTAGTAGCACCATGTAGATCTTTCCCAAAGTTTACTCATGCCCAATCTGGGAAAACTCCCAAGTGGCACTGAACTCTTATTCACTTCCTATCTGCCTCTCAAAGAACAGTGACTGCCCCAATTCTGATCATCCTGGCAAATGTGGTCTTGTCCTTCAAGGTCCTGAGCAGGTCAAATGCTGTCTCCAGGGCTGTTCGTGCTCAGGGCCTCTGCTGACATGTGATTGGCTTATGGTGGAGTATCTGTCCCATTACCCTCATGCTCTCATTTGAAACAGTCTATTCCTTTGCTGTGCCTGCAGTAGGTTGAATGGGACTTGGGGAGGGAGGAACCTGCTTACTAAATGTCTGGTGAACAAATACACTCTGAAGAACATGCTTGGCTTTTGCAGTTATGATGTGGATCAATAGAGGGCCAACTTTTCAGCTTTCCTCATGAAACTTTATCTCTAAAGCCAGACTTTGTCCTCTCAACAGCCCGACGACATATCTTGAACACGAGTAGGAAGAGGGGCGGGCAGAGCAAGGGCCAGAAAAGATCTGTACAAGTTCAAGACTGCAGACTCCCAGGAAGCCGTGCAGGCTTCTAGTTGGCTCTCACCCATTCAGTCACTTAGTTCACAAAGATACACCAACATTTGATAATGGCTATGCCAGCAATGGCCAGCACAGAAGCCAATGTCCATATGTGTTGGGTCCAAATTAAGATGTGCTCCAAGTGTGAATACACACTAGATTTCAGTGACTTAGGAAAGAATGTAAAACATCTCATTACTAATCTTTATACTGATTTCATGTTAAAATGGTAATATTTTTAGAACGTTGGGTACAATATGTTATTAAAATCAACCCCACTTGTTCCTTTTACTTTTTACATGCTTTACTCAGAATTCCCCATGTGATTCAAATGTGTGGCTCACATTACATTTTTTCCTCAGCAAGTGCTGACTTGGGCCTCACTTGGCGTGGTCTCTGAACAGGACCCCTAGAAGGCAGAGCCTATGTCACAGGCATCCCTGGAGCCTAAGGGCCTGAGGGTCTTGGTGGAGGCAGCACTCAAGAGAGCAGGTATGAGTGGAAATGAACTGTGGCTTCCCAGATCCTCTATCATTAGCGGGGCACGAAGGCTAAGCTGCCTGGTAGTTGGGTAGTTGGCTGCTCATTGGAAGTTGGGGATGTTGCCTAGAGAGATGGACAAGGCTACTATGCTTCTTCCTCTTCATGCCTACAGGGAGGATGTAGGGTAGAATGGGACAGAGTGCCTAAGTCACCCCTGAGGAAGAAGAGGATGGGGAGGGTGCACGCCCCCCTCAGGCCACATCCCCTGCTTCTTTCATGCTTGGAGTTCTACTGCTGCATAACCATCTTGTCTTGTCCCACTGTCCTCACTGCATGTCATCTTTGGCCTACATTATTTCCATCCTTGTTGGTAGCAGAGTGCTCGTCAGGTGGCCTCTGGGATAAACCCCAGCTGCCCACTTTTCTACAGGTTACTCCATGCTATGACATAACCAGTCCAAATTTCCCTGTTCCCATATAAGCACCATGGGCAACAGCATCTCCCTACAGGGTTTAGTGAGAAATTGTATCCCTGCCTGTGGGTACCAGCAGCTGCCACCAGCAGCAGGTTTCCTCACTTTCAGTCTCTCTGTCTCCCAACCCATCTTCTGCACCTAAAGAAATAAAAAGTAAAAAGCACACCCAATCGTGCCACTTGCAGCTTACATCATCTCAGTGGAAGGGATCTCTCAAACTGGCCCCGGGAGATGTGCTGCCTAAAGCGGAGCTGGGTGCTCCAGCTGTGAGTCTGGGGATGCTGTGGACTGTCCGGGTCCTTCCAGAGACTCGCCATCTTTGTCAGCACACTCAACACCACCAAACAAACTCAAACTATGAGTGTCTTTAACAAAATTGTATCCTAAATTCTTTAGAACAGACTTTCCTTCCTTGCAACACTCTCAGATATCCTGGGAAGTGTCAGGCTGTAGTGTTTCATTTGCCCCTACATCCAACACACAAGCCTTTACCACCAGCGTATTCCTCACTGTCATAAGACTGGGCACTTCATGGGTGCTCAGTGAGTGATATTGGCTTAAGGTTCCTACCACATGTAGCCCAGGTTGACCTTAAATTTGCTCTATAGTTGAGGATGAACATGTACTTGTCTGGTCCTCCTCCTGTCTCTAGAGCCTCTACACCTGGTTTTGTGCAGTGCCGAGGACTGGGCTCCCCATCCAGTGACAAGGGTATTAGTTCTGCAGGTTCCTGTAAATACCTTATTTTGCTGTGACTGTCATGAACCTGTGTTGGTTCTTTTACAACTGAACTTATAAAGGAGCAAGGCAGCAGCTTGGTGGCCACACTTAGCCCAGAAGCTGGCAGGACTAAAGCCAAGAAGGGATCATGTGAGTACAGATGTCCTGACATGACCAGATAGGTAAAAACAAAGCCCAACATAAACAACCAAGAATAGGATCCCTACTGCCTCTCTGACATCAGAAGTTCTCCCTGCAGGCAACCATCGTTGAGAACAGAGATCCAGGTGAGTTTGCACATGAGAGGCAGTTGTACACACTAATCTAAAGCACATAGCTGTGGGAACACGGGCCAGGGCCACCTTTCCAGGGTGGCTGCTAGGAGGAGAACAGAACGCTCTCAGAGGTGTGCATTTAAGTCCCCTGGGAGAGGGAGAAGGAAGAGGGTGGCAGCACCAATTATCAGGGCACTCTGTCAGAAGTGTGTGAGGCCCTGGGGACCTGTGCAGAAGCAGACAGGCACCTGGAAGAGTGACAGGACTGATCACAGTGCTGAGCAGTCTTCCTTTGGTTTTGAATACTAGAATGTTTGATTTGTGGGTGCCTCCTGACCTCCCACAGAGGTCAGACTCCACCCAGGTTAGCTTGGTGACTTTGGTGAACCTTGGGCTTCAGTGCCCTCATCTATGAGCACCGTCAAGATAGGGCAGGAGGAAGCTTCTACTCCTGGGGGACAAAGTGGCAGGGATGCTGGGCTATGGTGGCTGTAGTTGCCCAAATAAACCAGGACAGATGCCCTGGGGACAGAGATGGGCATGTGGGAGGGGGGTGAGAATAGCCTGCAGTTCAGGTGGAAAGAGGGGATGAAGTAAACCAGGAAAAGACAAATGCAGGAAAACACACTGTTTTCCAGAGGAAAGCCTCAGTGGGAATAGAACCCTTGGATTGAGGTTAGAAGAGCTGTGGCTCAAAGAGCCTAGAGAGCTGGGCAGGATTAGTGACAGTCATCACCGTGAACTGGGGGCTCCCTGAACCTCCTGCTCCACTGACTGTGGCCCCCTGTCAGCTTAGGGTACAGAGCCACAACAGGGTCTGCTTACAAGGAACAGAAGTGAGAAGCAGAGACCCACTAAGTGCCCCCACTGGTATGGAACATGGTGCTGAGGCACAATGGACTCAGGCCTCTGAATTTCAAGTTCACATTCTCATGGTCCACAATTGCAGGTGAGAAAGATTGTACCACGGAGCAGAGCAGGGCTAGGCAGGGCAGAGCAATCACATCATATGTGCACCTTAGGACCCCAGTGATGGACATGCAGTTACACAGCCTTTGGGGGTCATTGGCTAAGAGTTCTATTAATGGTGAACTTGGCACTTCCTGAGTGGCAGGAAGGGTGGGGGCTGAAGGTCCTGAAGGTCAGTGCAGCACACCTGCCTTGCTGAAGGCCACATAGGGAAGGGCTCTTCTCCTGGATACTGATGGGACAGCTATGCGGGGCTAAGGCCTGGGGCCTCATGGAACAACAAGACAGTACGTTCTCTTCAGCAGTGTATACTCTAGTGAGGTCTGAGTTCCATCAGGTGTATGGGGGGAATGTCTTTGTGGGCTAAGCCTTTGGGTTGGGAGGGGAGGACTCTCACCTCACAGCTCTTCTGCTTCTGGGCAAGTTCAGAACTAGCTCTGTGCATAGGTGTGTGTTAGGTCTCAGCTAACCCCCCTGGAGCTGCGAACAACTCCTTTGTCAGAACACAGTTGTGGACACTCCTAGAGCACAGTTAGAACCAGGAGGACTCAGGATGGGGTCCTGAGGATGAGACAAGGCCACTCAATTGCATATTCGTGTCATAATCTCAGGTCTTTCAGAAAAAATCCTGGGGACACAAGGACCTTGGCTTTCCAAGATGTGTGCTTCAATCAGGTTTTGCTGAAGGACATTGTACTTCAGACATCTCTTTTATTTGTATGTTTTCCTTCAAAGAATTTCTACCTTGTTTCTACCTTTTGAGCCCCCTGGTTCTTAGTAAAGCAAGTTACAGGTTTAGTTCCAGTGTGGAGAGAGGAAACAGAAGTCCAGAGAGGTTACATTACTGATATGAGGCCACACAGCACAACAACTAAGGCAGGCACTCTCAGTCCACTGATTGATTCTTGTCCAACTGAGTTTCCCAGGTCATCCGGAACCCCCTTGTCCCATCTGTGTTAGGGATGTGTGCCTTAAGAGAAAACACGGACAAGAAGGTGACCAATATCTTTTCCTTTGTTTCCAAGAAAGGCAGGTGATTCATCAGAGAGTGGAGTCTACACTGTACCAGATGCAGGGATCCATGGGTGAACAGGACTAGAGTAGAGCAGTCAGTCACAAGGCAGGGGTGCCACAGTCAGTGTA